AGGGGGCAGGGAGGGAGGGAGGGACAGAGGGAGGGACAGAGGGAGGGAGGGAGGGAGGGAGGGAAGGAAAGAAAGAAGAAAGAAAGGGAGGAAGGAAAGAAGGAGGGAGGGAGGGAGGAAATCAAGGTGGGGGAATCAGTGGGCATTCCATCTCGCAGGACCAAGGCCCTTAGTTATCTCTCAGGTAATTTTACAGAACTAGTGAAGTGTAGTAGATTAACCATGTTAGTAGAAGAATAACCTTAAGCTGAACATAACAGTCTTAAGCTCACATTCTTGAGCAATCTAGCCTTTTTCTTATTTTTGATCTTGGATATGGGTCAAGGATAAGAGCCAGGGCCACTGTTTTCCTGCTCATGCCTCTGCACCTCACCTAAGTAACCTTTGTCACCTAGACATTCTTGACATTGTGCCTTTGCAATCAGTCAAGTGTGCTTTTAGCCTTGCTTAGAAAGAACATTAGTCCCCAACCCAATAGAAAAGTCTTTGAGGCTCCTCCACAGAGAGAAAACTAAATAAGTTGGTGCATGCCTATGATCCCAGCAAAGGATGAGAGAAAGCTTACAAGAACTTATCCTCAGTTGCTGTTGCTGAGGCAGAAACTGTGGGTGGGAGCATGGTGTGCAAAAATATGTGAAAAGACACTTGGTACTGTTCTCACTCCTGATACAAGGAAAGATGGTGCAAGGAATACCACAGAAAGTGGCAGAGGAAAACTGAATGAAAATAAAGCTTTGACTTCAAAGAAAGCAAGATTTGGTCCATATGGAAAGAACAAATTCTCCACTTGCAGAATTTGTAAAAGTTCTGTACACCAACCAGGTTCTCATTATTGCCAGGGCTGTGCCTACAAAAAGGGCATCTGTGCAATGTGTGGCAAGAAGGTTTTGGATACCAAAAACTACAAGCAAACGTCTGTCTAGATGTGTTGATGAAGTTTCTGGCTGGCTGTGATTTTACTTTCTGCTTTGGCTTTTCAAGGCATCATATAGATATTCAACTTAAAAAGTAACATATTTCAAGACAAATGGCTAAGTTTAAACCAGGGAAGTTGATCAGTCGTTATTATTTTGTTCGGCAAAGGTTCTTAAAGCAGCAATGTAAGTCAACTTACGCTGTCTTAAGACAATTAGTAAGTGATTATTTTCCTTATGAGCATTTTATTGAACTAGAATAAGTGACAAATTGAATGAAAAATACTTATGAGTTCTGAGTGCACTTTTTATTTAAAGTTTATCTAATTTGTATCCTCTATGCCTACTTTATTTATGGATATTGCAAGATGAGGTAGAGATTATTGATGTTTTACTCTGAACTTGGCATTTAGACAAAATGCATCCCTAACTCTCTGGTGTCATAGTTCTTAGAATCAACAGTCTTAATTAATCATAGTTTCACTGGTCACTTAAATATTGAAAGCCAGTATTGCTGAATAATTCTTTAGTAATTAGTCCAGATACCAATCAAAGACAAGTTGAATTTGATTCCTTTTCATTTATTCTTGAAGCCAGTTCCTTTCACACATTAATAAGAACACAAAAGAAGAGCTGGGAAGGTGGCTCAGTGGAAGAGTGCTTGCCTTGCATACATGAGGCCCTAGGTTCGATTCCTCAGCACCACATAAGCAGAAAAAAAAAAGCTGGAAGTGGTGCTGTGGCTCAAATGGTAGAGTGCTAGCCTTGAGCTGAAGAGCTGAGCGACAGCAACCAGGCCCAGAGTTCAAGCCCCATAAAAAAAAACCCATAAAGAACACTGATTTGGCCAATAAATGCACTAGATTTCAGTAAGACACATATTATGCCTATTACCTTTAATTCAATTTGTTATGAAAACCAGAGAAAAGTGTCCATCCATGTTCATCATAATAAAAATGAATCTCCTCTGGGAAAACTCTTTAAAGCAGGAAGCTCTTTTTTTCTTTTTAGCCATTTCTTGCCACGCTCCCCAAACCCCAATAAATAAATTAAAAAAGAACATCCTCAAACAACCAGAGGGGGAAAAAGGTCTGGAGGCATGGCTCATTCGAAGAGCATGAGTTTACCAAGTGGAAGTCCCAGGTTCAAACCCCAGTACTCATCCTCCACTATTAAATGTATACTGTAAAATTTTTCCAGCATGAACAAAAGTAGAGTGATTGAGAAGAGGAGGGCTCAGGAACTCATCACGCGGCTTCCTTGAGTGGCCATTCTTTCTCCTCACCTGTCATATTCTCACACACATCGGTACACACACCACACATACACACTCACACAAACACACATGCATACTAGCCCACATGCACACATGCATATACATGCACACTCACACACTCACACATGCATGCACATACAAGCACACTCATTCATACACTCACATAAGCACATACACGCATATGAGCACACATGCACATGCATGCACACTCACATAAGCACACACATGCATGCACACTCATTCACACACGCACACTCATACAAGCACACACATGCACACTAGCACACATGCACACATGCATGTACATGCACACACATTCACACAAGCACACGCATGCATGAACATACATGCACACCCATGCACACTTGCACAAGCACATATATGCATACTAGCACACATGCACACATGCATATACACACATACTCACACAAGAACACACATGCATGCACATGCATGCACACTCATTCACACACGCACACTCACACAAGCACACACACATGCATGCACAAATTCTTAGACACCCTGTGGATGTCCTTCTTTCAGTACTACAATCATTACTAAATTAATACATTGTTAATAAACTAATAAATATTAATTCAATTAATTATTTTTCTCTCTTTGTACCATCACATGCTTTGGATGAACATACGTTATTTACTCTGAAATAAATAATGTTGCTATGGTGTAAATACGCATGCCTGTGCATGCATATATCCTTTTAAACCATTGCAATTATAAAATTGAATAAGAAGTTAGAATTTCTGGGTCAAAGAATATTTTAAAATATTTTTATAGTTATAATCAAATATTCCAAAAAGTTTCTATTTGAAACCTTTATTAACAATGTATGTTTTCTCATTGCTTCAGCAATAACTAGTAGCTGTGGGAGGCATTACTGGGGTTTGAACTTGGGACCCTATGTTTGCTAGGCAGGCATTCTTCCATGCATTCTTTTTTTTCATGTTTTTTTTTAAATTGTGAAAATACTGTTACAATAGGGTTACAATTACATGGGCAAGGAAATGAGTACATTTCTTATCAAGCATTGTTGCCTCCTCCTTTGTTTCCCCTTCCCATCCCTTCCCATCTCCCACCTTCCCCTCTACCCCTCGCCAAAGTTTTAAAGTTTGTTTTTCAACATAATGTCTTGTACATCTCATTGTTGCAATGGGTCCACCTGTATCCCTATTCACGTATTCTTACTTCTAGCCCTTTCTGCTTTAAGTTACTTCTTTAGGTATGATCTCATTACTTGCTTGGAGCCGCAGTCCCTTCTACTTATGTCTTTCTTTTTTTTTTTTGGGGTCCGGTCATGGGGCCTGAACTCTGGGCCTGGACGCTGTCCCTCAGCTCTTCAGCTCAAGGCTAGCGCTCTACTACTTGAGCCATAGCGCCATTTCCGGCTTTTCTTTCTGTAGCTGGGACAACAGATATAAAGAGCTATTCCTGGCTTGTTTGTTAAGATGGGGTTTGTGATAACTTTGTCATGGTGGCTCAAACAGCAATCTCCTGAATTCTACCTACTGAATTCATGGATTTACAGGCATGCACCACTGTACCTGGCCCATAACTATTTTATAAATTGATAATGTCATTTAAAACTATAATTGTTTAAGTATTACTATATTGGATATATTTTTCTAGTTTCCTTTATTGTTGTTTTAGAGGTGATATACAGTGGGGGTACCTTTACAAATGTCAGATAATAAGTAATTTCCTTTTGCATGGTATCATGTGTTCCCTCATTCTCTCCCATTCCCTCCCCCCATCTCCACCCATGAGTTGCATAGTTCACTTTGATCAGTGTTCAGTTCCCTGCTGTACTTTTTTACCTTTTTCCTGCGATTCTGTGCCTTCTCCCCAACTTCCCCCAGATGTGAAAGTGACTAAGGTAAAGAATACAGAGTCATCAGAAAAAGAAAAAAATACTTTAAGAAAAAAGCCTTTTGTTTCCACATATTGGTAGTTCATTTCAGTCAGTATGTATCTTATATACATATGAAGAGGCATTTGGGTATTGCATCTTTGTGACTTTCTCCTAAGACTATCCTCTCTTGGTCTCACTGTATGTGAGTATCTAGAATTTTCTAGTATGTGAGTATCTAGAACTCTCATTGAGTTCTAGATCTAACTTCTGCATATCATGGAGAACATATAACATTTGTCTCTCTGATCTTGGCTGATCTCATTTAACATGATTTGTTCTAGTTCCAGCCATTTCCCTGCCAATGGCATCATTTTATTCTTTTTAATAGCTATGTAAAATTCCATTGTATATAGGTACCACATTTTCTTAATCCACTCATCTATTATGGGGCATCTGGGTTGTTCTCATATTTTGGCTATTGTGAATAGTGCAGCAATGATCATGGATTTACAGGTGTCCTTATCATATCCTGGTTTATGATGCTCAGATAGCTGCCTAGGAGTGGCATGGCTAAGATTTTTACATATATGAGCCAAGATATATCCCAGATTACATGATGAATTTGACTGAAATTTTAAAATGTCTAATTCCTTAATTTCATATTCCATCTTCCTTCACTATATTGCTAATCATTATTTTGGTGTTTCTGTAAACATATTTAACAAAGGAAAAATGCTATCCAAAATTTGTGTAATATTTATTTAATTTTTTGAGAAAGGATGGATTGCCATAAAGAAAGAGATCGTCTGGCAAATTAGATTAACTATATTTAGCATTCAATTCCACAGCCATTGAGGTTTACAATGATTAAATATGAATGCACCTGAATTCATTTTCTTGTTCTGCACGGTTGTCACTTTATCACTGGCTGTTTGCCATTGTAAAAGATTTATTATTTGAGTAGGTTACATAATAGTTTGCCAGCTTTTGAAACCTTAAAATCTAGCCACTGGAGCACTAAGTTTCACCCATAAATAACCTCATTTCAAAAATAGAACTGGTGATAAAAAAGAAGACTGAAAGTATTGGTTGTGGTGTGTGTGTGTGTGTGTGTGTGTGTGTGTGTAGTATTGGTTGTGGTGTGTGTGTGTGTGTGTATGTGTGTGTGTGTAGGTCATTGGGAGTATGTACAGGTGTCTGTGAATATGTTTGGGAGGTGCAGGGTGTTTCTGTGTGTATAGGTTGAGGGTTTACGTGTGTGTAGGGTATGAAGTATGTGTGAATGAGTGTGTATAAAGAGGTATGTTTTGTGGGGTGTGTTGGAATGTGTATATGTATGGGGTGTGTATGTGAAAAGGGTATGATATGTATGTGTATGAGGGTACAGGGTATGTGTGTATGGAGTGTGCAGTCTGTGTGTGGTATGTTTGTGTGTGGTGTGTATCTTTATTTGAAAGGCATAGTGTATGTATATATATGTATGGGAAAGTGCGGAATATGTGTGTAGCTATGTGGGAGGTATATATATATATACATATACATATATATATATATATGTCTGTGCATGTGTGGGAGGTATATTATACTGTGTGTTTCTGTGTGGAGGGTATGATGCATGTGTGTATGTGGGCTATGGAGGGATGGTACACGGGAGAGTGTGGTGTATGTGTATGCATGTAGTGTGTTCATATGTATGTTTAGAGGGTTTGATATATGTATATATATATTTATGTGTATATGGTGTTTGTATGGGCATGTCTAGGAATGAGTGAGGAGTGTTTGTGTATATGTGTGTGGAGTGGAGTGTGTGTGTGTGTGTGTGTGTGTGTAATCTCTCTCTAGCTGTCAAAATGCATTATGCCTTGAATAGCTTTGCTATCAATATCTATTGATAGAAAGAACTCCATTATCCTCTATGTTTTTCTGATATAAGAATGCCAGCAAACAGCAAACAGAGTGATCAGAAAGGAAAGATGTGGAAATGAAACAAGGCAAATTGTTTTACATTTTGCATACTAAAAGGCCAGATGGTTTAAGTGGATTTTTATTTTCAGAACCACCC